TTCTTGCTCTGGCTGAGGGCTGCTGGGAGCAGGGGGTGGGGCTTGCTGCATGTGCCCGCCTCCTGGGTTCCTTACTGCCGGAGCTCCGCTCCTGTGCACTCCCGCAGGAAATGACCCCTGGTCTTAGGGCTGCCAGCTCTGGGTTGGGAAATACCTGGAGATTTAAGGGGCAGAGGGATTTGGGGAGGGGCAGGGCCTTAGTGGGGTACCATGCTGTAGACTCCACCTTCCAGTGCAACCATTTTCTCCAGAGGAGCTGACCTCTTTCATCTGGAGATCAGTTAGAATTCCAGGGGATCTCCAGGCTCCACCTGAGGGTTGGTAACCCGAGGACCTCTCCGCCTTTTGTCTCTCCCCCCCCCGGTGCAGTGCATCTCCTGTGGGCCTAGGAACCGGGGCCATTGCTTCGGACCCAACATCTGCTGCGGAGAAGACCTGGGCTGCTACTTCGGCACTGCGGAGACGCTGAGATGCCAGGAAGAGAACTTCCTGCCGACCCCTTGTGAGTCTGGAAAGAAACCGTGCGGGAACAACGGGGGTTCCTGCGCCTCTTCCGGGATCTGCTGCAACCACGGTGAGATTCCCAGTCCTCCTGGCCGGCCATTTGGCTGGTTTTTCTTACTTCCCAGCATATTCTTTTAAACGTTCTTGTTCTCTTAATGTTGACCAGGTATTTTTAATGACATCTGTGCATTTGTTACTTTGTGGAGTTTGTAGACCCCTCCCAATTTTTCTCTTTCTTTCTTCTGGTCTCTCCCCAACAAGATGTGGCCCCATTGCTTAGATTATTTTTTTTTAATAGCTTTTAAATTATTATTGTTATTTTAAATTAAAATAGGGATACAGAAAAACAAGGGGGGAAAGGGAGATATAGATGTTATAATAATGTACGGTAAAGGTAAAGGTCTCCCTTGTTCGAAAGCCAGTCGATTTCCGACTCTAGGGTTGCGGTGCTCATCTCCGTTTCAAAGCCGAAGAGCCAGCGCTGTCCGAAGACGTTTCTGTGGTCATGTGGCTGGCATGACTAAACACCAAGGCGCACATCTTATTAATAACAAGAATGATCAGGGTCAGTGTAAATATAGGGCATATAACATAAACATTTAAAATACATAGTATTAGGAAGGTTTTCACATACTGTAGAAGAAGAAGAGAAGAGATTGGATTTATACCCTGCCCTTCACTACCTGAAGGAGTCTCAGAGCGGCTTACAAACTCCTCTCCCTCTCCCTTCCCCTCCCCACAACAGGCACCCTGTGAGGTAGGTGGGGCTGAGAGAGCTCTGACAGAAACTGTTCTTTTTCAAGAACAGCTGTGCCAGAACTATGGCTTGCCCAAGGTCATCCAGCAGGTGCAAGTGGAGGAGTGGGAAATCAAACCCGGTTCTCCCAGATTAGAGTCCACGCGCTTAACCACTACACCAAACTGGCTACATGTATTATTAAAGCCTGGCCTTTATTGCCATTAGTCACTATTAATATTAACTGTTAGACATTGATTATAACACTGTATGTTCCATTACATCTTAATACCACTATGGTTGTCATTAATGTTCCCTCTAAGCTGTGGAGTCTTGTGAGCAAAAATTCTACTTTGTGAGCTACTGGCATTAAAGCTGTGAGTGAGCGATTTGGCTGCTGCATAAATCAGTTTCCTCCGGAGCCATCCTTCCTGAGCTCAGACAAAAATGGGTGAGCTGAGGCTAAAAAACTGGAGCTAGTTCACCCTAACTCAGCTTAGGGGGAACACTGTCATAATCAAACTAAAATCAAAGAGTACATTTTAAGAGCATTTATAAGAATAAAAAAAGGATAACCATGAACTAGGTTCATATGTATGTCAAAACCTATTTTTATGGTCTTGAATATAGCATTATTTCAGGGAACACTTATATTCATACCATTGTAGTATTATCTAAAACAACCTTAATTATATTAGTGCAATTATATTATTGCCTAAGCTATCATGATCCTGATGAGAAAATAAAAATAAAAAATTGTTATAGTAACTTTAATACAAGTCACTCATTTTTAATCTTTACTTATAATAAGCATAATAATTTCCCCATCTTTTTCAAATTCTCTGACTGGTGTTTTATTGATATAGTTGGTTAATTTGGCCACAATTGCGTATTCTGCCATTTTATTCTTTTTCGAACCATATGCTGGGGCCAAGTTCAGAATTATATTATACTTACTTTCTTATTAATCTTAAACTTAGCCTATCGTATGAACAACAGTGGCTCAGTGGCGGAGCATCTATTTGGGATAAAGAAGGTCCCAGGTTCAACTCCCCGGCATCTCCAGTTAAAAACACCAGGCAGGAGGTGACGGGAAAGACCTCTGCCTGAGACCCTGGAGAGCTGTAAAGAGGGGCTGTGGTTCAGTGGAAGATACTCCGCTTGGCATGCAGAAGGTCCCAGGTTCAACTCCCCGGCATCTCCAGTTAAAAACACCAGGCAGGAGGTGACGGGAAAGACCTCTGCCTGAGACCCTGGAGAGCCACTGCCCGTCTGAGTAGACAATACTGACCTTGATAGACCAACATTCAGTATAAGGCAGCTTCATTATTATTCAAGTTTGCCTTTGTGGTTGATTTGGGCCAGTGTCTAGTGCATCGTCCACTTCCAAGAAACAGGAGTCATTTCCTGCAGCACAGGAGCGGAGCTCTGGCAGTAAAGAGCCCAGGGGGCGGGCACATGCAACAAGCCCCACCCCCTGCTCCCAGCAGCCCTCAGTCAGAGCAAGAAGCGGCCAGGTAAGCTGCAGAGCCCTCCCCCTGGCCCAAAGCAGTCCAGTGGCACCTTTAAGACCAAGTTTTATTCAGGTACAAGCTCTCCCTCCTCTGTGAGGACAGATCTGGACGTTCCCCCCACCCCCCAATAGCTAGCAATCCAAAACAGTCCAGTGGCGCCTGAGCGGTAGGTGTTGCCTTCTGACACACTTCCGGTGATGTCAGGGGGTGTGGCATATGTAAACAAGTTATGCTAATGACTTATGCTAATGAGCTCCTACACCTCTTTTTCTACGAAATGACCCCTGCCAAGAAATAACACCTTGTCACATGCAGCATGGTCTAGTTTGGTTTCTGTGACATGTTTTCTTGTTGCTGCAGAGGGCTGTGTGCTGGACTCTATGTGTGATCAAGAATGAGAAGATGTCAAGTCTTGAGGACGACGGGAGCGCAGTTTTAGGCCACAAACTTGTGGGTCAACAATGCCCCAGTGCATGTTGGAAGCTAGTAGGGAGGGGGGAGAAACTTCTGCAAAATAAAATGTATACAAAAACAACCAGAATTCCATCATTGTGTTCTTTTGGCTGTGCAATAAAGGATTAACAGGTTCATTGTGTATGTTATTGCTCATTTGGTTAATAAAATGGAGAGGACACAGAAGATACAATTTTTAAAATTTGCTTACACAAATAGGCTCCAAGATGTAGAAAAGAACAAGAGTCCAGTAGCATCTTAAAGACTAACAAAATTTGTAGCATGGCATGAGGTTTCGTAAGTCACTGCTCACTTCTTCATATACAGCTAGAATGTGAGTCCATCTGTCCTTATATCTTGGATAGTGGAGTGATTTTAGATGCCAAATGACAATAGCAGGCGAATGACAATAGCAGGCATGATCGGATCAGGTGTGATATGCAGAGAGATAGTAGGCGTGGAGAAATCAGCATTGGAAATGAGACAGGAAACCTAGGTCTCGATTAAGTCCAGGAAGATGCATTCTCTTGAGCTTCATTATAAATTGAAATTCAGTAGTCTCTCTTTCTAATCTCCCTTTGAAATTCCTTTGTAAGAGAACTGCTGCTCTTTGGTCAGCAACTGAATGCACTGAAAGGTTAAACTAGTCCCCCACCGGATTTTGAATGTTGTGATTTCTAATGACAGACTTATATCCATTAATTCTTTGTTGAAGGGACTGGCCTGTTTGTCCAATGTAGAAGGTGGAAGGGCATTGTTGACATGTGATGGCCTAAATCACATCACAGGATGAGCGGGAGTATGAACCCGAGATAGTATGGCTGATCTTGCTGGCTAACCTATAAAATCATTTCAAAAACCACATAGTATAAAATTTAAAATCCCAGACAGTGTGATAAAAATACCAAGGAGAAGCAAGAACCACCCCAGTCTCCTTCAACCTCCAGATGCCTGGAGGGATAAAAAGGGCATCAGCCAGTTCTTTGAACAGATGCAGTGCAGCAGGTCTCGCAGAGCAGGGCACTCTGTGCTGCGGGGGCCACCACAGAAAAGGCCCTGCTTCTAGTAAATGACAATCTGTGACTCCATCTTCTAGCATTCAGGGCAGTGCTCTTGTCAAATTCCTGCTCATATCACTGGGTCTTCTGCAAGTGTATGTCCTAGGGTTGCCAACTCTTGGTAGGGAATTTCCTGGAAGAAGAAGACTACATTTTTATACGTTTTATAGCAGATGGAGCCTGGAGAGAGTGGGGGTTAGGGGAGGGGAGGGAACTCAGTGGGGCACAATGCCATAGAGGTCACCCTCCAAAGCAGCCATTTCCTCCAGGGGAACTGATCTCTGTCATCTGGAGATCAGCTATAATTCTGGGAGATCTCCTGGCCTCACCTGGAGGCTAATAAACAAAAAGAACTGTGTACCAACACTGTATATAAAACCCAAATACTCTGAGGTGGTCAGGCCTCACCTGGAGTCCTGTGTCCAGTTTGGGGCAGCACATTTTAGGAAGGATGTGGACAAGCTCGAGCGTGTCCAGAAGAGGGCAACCAGGATGGTGAGAGGGTTGGAATCCAAGTCTTATGAGGAAAGGCTGAAAGAGTCGGGTCTGTTTAGCCTGGGAAAGAGAAGGCTTAGAGGGGACAGGATTGCAGTCTTCAGATATCTGAAGGGCTGTCATGTGGAAGATGGAGCAGTTCTATTCTCACTTGCTCCAGATTGCAAGACTAGATCCAATGGGTGGAAATGACAAGGGAGTCGTTACCGGCTAAATATTAGGAGAAACTTCCTGACTGTCAGAGTGGTTGAGCAGTGGAACAGACTGCCTCAGGAGGTGGTGGATGCTCCTTCGCTGGACGTTTTCAAGCGGAGGCTGGACGACCATCTTTCGGGTATGTCGTAGGGCTCTCTTTCGGCTCTGCTCCTGCAGAGTGCAGGGGGTTGGACTAGATGACCTGCAAGGTCCCTGCCAACTCCAACATTCTATGATTATTTAAAGCAAATTAATTCACATTGTAATACTGTATGCACATAAGGAATGCACCATGCAGATAAATACACAAACATTCTTCTGCAATAGATGTGCAGAAGTGTGATTATAGTAGTTTGAAGTCACACTATTAGGAACAACTCCTTTAGGCGTGTTGTCGAAGGCTTTCACAGCTAGAGTTCAAGTGAGGCAATCCTTACTTGCAAATTGCTCGTTGTTTTGCTATGATCCAGCTTTATCACCTTGCTACATGTGAGATGCTCACTGTGAGGGACCCCTAGAAACACACTGAGAGCCAGTGTACTGTAGTGGTTAAGAGCATCAGGCTGGGATCCGGGAGACTCAGGTTCGAATCCTTGCTTGTGCCATGGGAGCTCGCTGGGTGACCTCGGGCCAGTCACACCCTCTCAGCCTAAACTGCCTCACAGGGCTGTTGTGAGGATGAAATGGAGGAGAGCTATGTAAGCCTCTTTGGGTCTCCCTCGGGAAGAAAGGTGGGGTATGAATGAATTAAATAAATAGTATAAAAAGAAAAGGGTATGACAAAATAGGACTGGTGCCATTCTTTCAGCCTACTGTTGTGTGATGCTTCTCAAAAACTAAAGCGGACTCAAAGTAAGGGTGGGTGGGGAAGGATGATTTTGAATTTCTCATCCTTGAGTTGATTGAACGGCCCCATTTTGATTTTGCTTCTTCCCCCCGTGCAAACGGTGCCGTTTTCTGTCTCGTCGCCCTGAATTTTCTCACAGTTCAGACGAATCCTCAAAATCAGCTGCGAAAAGCAGAGACCATTGCTGAAAAAAGTGTAAAAGTGTTGGAGTGAACGAGTTAGCATGCCAGGACATTTCATTTCATTTGGAATACTGTGTGCAGTTCTGGTCACCACACCTTAAAAAGGATATTATAGCTTTGGAAAAAGTGCAGAAAAGGGCACCTCGAATGATAAAAGGGTTGGAACACTTTCCCTATGAGGAAAGGTTAAGGCGCTTAGGGCTCTTTAGCTTGGAGAAACGACGACTGAGGGGTGACATGATCGAGGTTTATAAGATTATGCATGGGAAAGAGCAGGTGGAGAAAGAGGTACTTTTCTCCCTTTCTCACAATACAAGAACTCGTGGGCACTCCATGAAATTGCTGAGCGGTCGGGTTAGAACGGATAAAAGGAAGTACTTCTTCACCCAAAGAGTGATTAACACATGGAATTCACTGCCACAGACAGTGGTGGTGGCGGCTACAGGCATGGACGGCTTCAAAAGGGAATTAGATAAGCATATGGAGCAGAGGTCCATCAGTGGCTATTAGCCACAAGGTATAGATAGGGGCTCTGGGGCAAGGGATGCTCTGTCATCTTGGTGCTTGGGGGGGGGGGCAACAGTGGGAGGGCTTCTGGTGTCCTGGCCCCACTGGTGGACCTCCTGATGGCACCTGGTATTTCTGGCCACTGTGTGATACAGAGTGTTGGACTGGATGGGCCTTTGGCCTGATCCGACATTGGCATCTCTTATGTTCTTATGACATTGGGGGGCTCTACATCACTCTGTGTGTGTAGGTGTTCTCTCCTTAAATGGGATGCCTCTCTTTGTCTTAACCTGGGAGCTGCCCTCCGACCCTTCCCTCCCTTTCCTGTCTCTCTCCTCACATGGCCTTCCATAGGGACATACGAGTCTGCAAGACTCTCCTGTAGAGACAGTGCCCTCATACTCCCACCACATGATGCTGGACAAGCTGGCTATTTGTGATAGGGGGAATAATCTTTAGATTAGGCTTCTTTCTCTTCTTTCGACTGCAACCTGATTTGTGAACTGCATCTACTCGAATCAATGTAAGTTTACCTTTTTTTGCAATATACTTCTTGGGAGATTCATGTACTGCACTCAGTATCACACTTCTATGACGGCTAATTCTGCTGTATCAACTGAATCTCCAAAGAAAAAGAAATATGGCCCCATTCACACGGAGGATTTGCCACGCTAAAGGCACAAATGGTAGGCGGATTTTCAGTGCACGATCACACTGCAACATCTGGGAAGCGTAGCGCACACGTAGCCAACCCGTGGCATCCTGCCAAAGATGCACAGTAAAAAATACCTCAGAAAGTGCAGTAGTATCCGTAAAATGCCCGGCAGGGGCGGGTGTCTGATCGTGGGAGCGCTAGTATCCCGTGGCTTCCGCCGCCTGTCCAAGTCCTGTCGCAAACCAGATGGTTTTCCTAAGTGCATGTGCACAAACACTAAACTGGAAGCAGTGCTGCTCCACGGAACTGCGCATGCGCACAAACACGGAACGCTTGCCACGCGGCTTCTTTGCCAGCTCCAGCATCGCCGTGTGATTGCGAGCTTCCAGCCACAGTGCGAAGACTCGGGAAAACGTGTGATCGGGCTAACGCGCTTTATTTTGCCCCGGGGCAAACAGCCACGCCTCCCCCCCCGTGTTATCTGGCCCGTGTGACTGGGGCCTATGTAAAGTTTCCTTTTCCCAGCTTCATCCCTTGTGCCTGTCATCTACGGGAGGTTCTGTAATACTCATTTGTTCCCCCACAATCTTCCCCTAAATTTTAGACCTCTCTGATGCTATGACATTGGTGTGATTTTTATAATATGATGAAGAGCAAGATTCAAGGGAGCGTTGACTCCCGCCAGCTGACATCTTGGTCTCCTACTGCAACACGACACGGCTGCCCACCTGAAATTATAATTTCAGATCTCTTTTATGTAATTGGTTCTTTTAAAATATTTTATTATTGCTCATTGTGTTATAGCTATTTTCAGTGCCCCTTCAGGGACTTCGGCGGGCTGCAGTTTGAGAGATCCCTCCCTCCCTCCCTCCCTCCCTCCCTCCACCTGAAATTATAATTTCAGATCTCTTTTATGTAATTGGTTCTTTTAAAATATTTTATTATTGCTCATTGTGTTATAGCTATTTTCAGTGCCCCTTCAGGGACTTCGGCGGGCTGCAGTTTG